AATTGCAAGCGTCTTCGTTGGCAGGAGACTTGCAATGGCACTCCTGCGTAGATCATGTAGGTCCCCTGCTTGTGAAGCGATTGGAAAAACCCTTAGAAACAGGGTGTGACACACACACACAAAAAAAAAACGGGACCGTTACAAGACCCGTTAGCCAAAAAAAACTCATGCAATGTAACCACTATGCCTGATTCCACCCGATCTGCCTTGTTCTGCATAGCCATTGGTTGAAGATGCACCTCGCGTAGGGGACTGCAGGTCGAATGACAGAGATAGTCTAGTCTAGCCTCAGCATTTGGAGTCTTGCCGCTTTGATCTGAAGCCGACGGGTTGATGTTGGGAAATCCTCGACTTCTGCTTACTTCTTTCTGGTGACGGTGGTCAGTCTATCTGTCTATCCAAAACTCATTTGATCAACTGCAAACTGAACAGCAAACTTGTTTGCATCAGTGACCTTAACCGTTCCTTAACCTGAGACCTGATTATCACCAACTTTGTAAGGCTTATCCTCGCTTCCCCGCTGCTCCACTGTTTCAGGCCTCGCTGCCCACAATTGCTTCGAGTGAAACAAGTTGTAGATGCGTTAAGGTGCCACAGCGAGTGAGCTTGAACATTTGTGCTTACGAATCTACACCTTCCTAAGCTGTACAACTCCAGCACCACCGCGTCAACCATAATCTCTTTTGCTGGGCTATCTACCAAGGAGGCGCGTGAGATGATGAGAGCAGGACATATAGAGTGAATAATGCAAATACATACAATTACACTAATCTAATCACATGTCATACCGTCATACCATCATAAAGGCCGACTAAAAAAAGCTATTGGTTGTGTTTTGGACATCCCGACTAACTAGGAGTCTCAGAGCCTGCTCTCACCAATCTTGAATTGCTTTGGTTCCTAAGACCCAGCTCCCTGAAAATGCAAGCGATGTGGACGCCTGGCTTTTTTGTGTTTTTCGATGTCGACTTGCGTTACCCTCAACTACCAAAAACAGCTACCTATGCATGTTATCTCGAAAAGTGGTCAATACAAATGGATATAAATGGACTCGATCTGACCAGACACAGTAGCCCACAAACCGCCAAGGAACGTGCCACACCAACTCTTCTGGGTGAAGTGAAACAGTCAAGCTATCAATCTTGATGTATTTCACCTCCAAGGTGAAAGGGGACTCCTTTGAGGACCGGACCTTCATTTCAAAACGAGTTTGGTAAGGGATGGTAAGGGTTGGGATGCATCGAGCGGTCCATCCGGCCAGCTTGGCCGCGTTTCAGATCAGATCGCAATGTCAAGCTCAGGTGGCTGTGACCACGACAGCATACAGCAGCTAAAAAGATATATATATATATAGTTTGTTCTTTTTTTGTGAAGGTTTGTTTTCTTATTGGTTGAAGACATGTGTTTTGCAAAAAAAACTTTGCCATCTTTGCAAGCCCTGTGTTCTCAGCAAACTAGCTAACAAAAGAGTTCCCTCCCAGATTTGATGTGTTGAAGCGGTCACCGTTTGAAGTGCCAAACAAGACCCACATGTTCGTTGAATTGGTTTCCAGCTGCTGCGGCTCCCGGAATGCAACGGGATCTACTCTTTCAAATACTTGTCGATCGACTTGTCCTGCCACAGAATGACCCAAATGCCAAGCTCCCAGACTTCATGCTGGGCTTATTTAGTGAAAACACGCCAAGACTGTGGCAACACAAAGAAGCAAAATAACAAAAGACATGCGCAGCATGTATGTGAACTGCGTGAACTGGTCCTGACCCAAGGTGCGTCTCTCTTCTTCCACCGGATAAATGAGGCCATTCTTGGCAGATGCGAGCTTCAAGAAGTCCTCTGACATCGCTTCCCCATGCGGCCCACCATCGACGACCAAGAAGCGATGCCCAGAATCACAAACGTGCAATGTGACGACCAATGAGTATAATGAGTTTGCTGACAGGCAGGGAAACGGTTGCAATTATATAATTACACGTATAATTACTGCCATCAAGTCGATCACATCATAAGCTAGCACTTTCGGGTGCTTTGACTCGCAGCAGGTTCATCCTGTATACTTGGATAACTAGTGACATTCTACTTAAAGCATAAGGGTTGGCTGACTTCATTGGCATGCCATTAACGCTCTGGTAAATGGCATGAAAAGGATTACAAAACCCTTCCGGGTCATCAATCATCCCTTCAAATCTGCCAAGGATCATCGTAGCCGATGGCACCATCACGCGGTAGCGTCAAATAGTCGAAGATCTGCCGCGGCGTTTTTTTCGTCGATCCGATTCGTCGAATCAGGCGCCCGCCCCTGCACGGCCGGGATCGCCCGGGAGCCAGACCTTGTCAGCCCTTTCTTCGAGCTCTTCAGGACTGAAGCCTTCCACCACGAAGCTTGCCTCTCGTTCGGATAGAAGGCTCTAACGGGAGAAAAATGTGGATGGCAAGTTGAAATTTCAACTTTTGTGCTACCAGTGTTTGTGAAAATCTGTGTCATGGGATGGTTACGGTAAAAATATATTAATAATAGTATAACACAGTAATCCAGGTCATGGTTACCATGTTTGTCTTCCCGCAAGCCCAGTTGCCCGCAACATCTCCACAAGCTCGCGGCGGTCGATGAGACCGCTGCCATCCTGACAAGCACCAGGCGCAAGAGCTGCAAGAGGGATGTGATGTAAAATTGTTTGTATTGCTTGACAAACCCTTGGCAAAGCGGTTTGCTAGTTGAGAAAACTACAGATCTGCGGGGATTTAATTATATACTGTGTTCAGTTCTATTCTATTGTGTTCTTCTGGAAGCAATTCGTGGTCTCCATGGCCTCAAATATGGTAGTAAAGTTGAAAGTGACTAGGAAATATGCTGCTGTACATGACTGAGTCCTCATCAAACATCATGAAGGCAAACTTAAGCTTTTCTGTCTTGGCTGCCTCAGACCAGAGCGAGAGCAAGGCCAAACACGTTGTGCGAAGGGATTGATTTTTAGTCTAAGCCATCAAAAGTGCATCATTGCCATGTTCAGGGTTTCCCTTCGCACATTCTGCGTTTGGGATGCCCAATTGTCCGCGACAATGCCACGTTGCCGCACAACGCCCGGACATGAAGAAAGTCAAAAGTGCCAGCGAAGGAGATAAGAATGAAGCTGAAGTAGGAGGATCGGCAACTGTCGACCAGTCGTGACAAACAGAAACGGCTCAGTCGTATTCTGCTGCACTATACAAAACCCTGTAAGGCAAATGTGGAAGCAAGTGGCAACCGAGCATTACAAGTCAAGTACTGGAATCACTCGAAACACCTTGAAGCACAAGAAGTTAATCCTTCGGCCAGTGGATAATCTAAGTCATGTGCTAAGAAACTCCAGAAGTAGGACAATGAGGATCCATGAAGGCCCCCGGGCTGCCGTGTATCGGGAGAGCACCACAATGAACTCCTTCAGCTCAATGCTGCCGGAGCCATCCTGAGGCCGCGGCAGAGTAGGCCGGAGACCGGCAGTTTCCATGAGTTCAGGCCAGAGAGATGTAGCATGTGGTCACAAGTTTGTTGATGTCAAAGAGTAGGATGTTGTCTTTTCAGGCCGAAAGGCAAACAAAGTCTAATATCTGTCTTTCTCCAAGTGGCTGACTGTGCAGCATGGGATTGCAATGTTCAGACTGATAAGGATGCTTTGTTTTAGTCGTAGCAAAGTCTACAGCCATCTATATACACCCTATTAGCTCTAGATGGCTGTATGATTGAAAAAAAATGTGTTGTGGAACGGCTCCTCCAAAGGAAAGCCACTTCCCAAAACTCCTGGCCCCAACTTGCTGCCAAGCGTCCATGTCAAAGACACGGAACATTTGTCTGGCAAGAAGCGAAGGACACAACTCAACAATGTTGGGGTGTCCTACTCACTTCGACTTCCGAACTCAAGGTGTTGTCTCCAATATATATAATCCAATATAGCTCCAGGAGTTGTTTTGAGCAACATCAACAGCATGTTGAAAGCCTGGCCTTTCCCGGCCGAGGTCACCGGCAGGACAGTCCGTATAATAGGCTGCTTTATTACATGACATCAGCAATCCCACCTTGCAATGTTGGTATCCTCCATGTCCATCGCCTGGGCCGGTACCAAGGCCGTACCGTGATCTCTTTTTTGCGTAGAAAAAACGCCATTCCAAAGAATAAATATGTTGGAAAGAAAGCCGATAAACTGTTTGAATAGTCCCAGTTTGGGCCAGAACACAACAAAATAGGCCCTGAAAGAATGCAAAAATAAACCCACACCTGCTGGAAATCGGGCCTGAATGAACTCCTCATAATCAATGGCTCCACTCTTGTCCACATCGATATCCTGCAATCACTGTTGTTTTTTGAAGGCGCTGTGGTCCTGTAACCAAAATAAGTTGACAGGACCGACACGCAGCGCAAGCGTGGCCCTGGTCTGACTATTGCGAACCTATATACAGTAATTGCAAATCCACAGTAATAAGTGGCCAAAGGGAGATGTGCTAGGAAAAGCTAGGGCCGAGAAAGATGGCCAGGGACCAGCGACTGGAATCATGAAATACTGTGGGCACTTAGCAGTTTTTGCAGATTCTAAGAAACCTGATTATACAGTATCATATAGGCACGATATAGCACCATCATCACCACAATGTACAAATGTACTGAACAAATTTTACTTGAGTCTTTCACTACAGTAGTCATTAGCAGCAGATGTTATCCTGGCTACTTAGTTGGAGCGACCATGACCCGCATCCCCAGCGCTGTCCCCGAACCGCTTGTAGATCTTTTTGATCCTCATTGACTCATCGGTGAAAGTCACGAGTGCTTTTTGATGCAAAAAGTGGGCCGAACAAGACCTATACTTCTATAACTTATATCAATTCCACTATCAAAACATTGCAGCTTGACGAAAGGCCCTTCTGACAGTGTAAATCCATGAGTCTCCCAAACCGTTGATCCGATTGTCATCCGGCATTGGTCACCGATAGAGGAACCCACAAATCAAGCATTTGTGGGTGACTTAGCAGCTGCAAAAGAGTGTCGTTGGGCAACTTTAACGAATCACTCGAGAGAGCAAATGCTATGCAAAGCCACACAAAGTGCACACAAGGCGCTCAGTGTCTCAAGATCTCTCGGTCTCCGGCTGAGATGGCTTAATCTTTCCCATGCCACCAGAAAGTTTGGTGATCAAAGCTTCCACCTGAAAGGATTGATGAGGCTGAGAAAATACAAGTCACAGCGGCTTCTTTGTGAGGGTGGGCCTTGGCCAAGACATGGTAGTTTCGCTTGTAAGTAACTGGCACAAAAGTTTTTTTGGTAGGCAAGCAGCTTCCTATTACTTTTACTACACAGGGAAGGAACTCGTTACAGCTTGAGGAGACTCGGTGGAGAATCTGAGCGTGGAGAACCTCCGAGCACAAACACTTGTAGGATCATGCAAAGGAAGTGTTCCACCTGCAAACAAGCAAAATAATTAATTGAGTTGTTCTCAGAACAATCACAAGGTTGGTGCTCTTCTCCCTTCCATGTGAGTATAGTGTTCAACCGACAACAAAATTGGTACTGCGGCTGATTGGAACAGAAAATTATATATTCCACAACAGTAGCCCTACGGCTGATCCTGCGAAGGAGACTAGCTGACATGAGTCAACTTGGAGCCAGAGCTAAGAAAGCTTATTGCCTAGGGCCTATTGGATAAGCAAAGCAGTACTAGTTACTAGCAAAATGATGCAAAATGCAAATCAGAAAGCAGCTTGGAAGTCCAAATGACATTGACTCACAGATATCATACATATGTATATACATACACACACTATACATACACATATATGTATACACTATGTATCTATGTATGTATGGATGGATGGATGGATGGATGGATGGATGTATGCATGCATGCATGCATGTCTGTCTGTCTGTCCGTCCGTCCGGATGGATGGATGGATGGATGTCATTATGTGTATGTACATCATATATATATATAATGTTATATGTGTATGTACACTATGTTTTTTTCATTTATTGATCTAAGGGCCCCAGCGGTGACAGAACGATGATGTCGATCCGCTGCCTCAAGTGGCCGAACCAAGTTCAGGGTAAGCAGCTTCATTGGCACCCTGCTTGCTCCTAGTAGCGATGCCCAGGTTCCTAGTAGCGATGCCAGGAGCTACTAGTAGCGTCCTTGTTCCTAGTAGCGATGCCCCGGTTCAGGGTGAGTTTCACAATGTTTCACATGTTCACACAGGGATTGAGTCAGCGAGTTGAGTATTGGACCCGTATGGCCGCCGTATGGGTTGAGTTGATCGTGAAGGCGCCCGCGGACAAAATGATGACGAAAGTAGCACAATCTTCGCATTGCGTTTGGAATTTATCTTGGTGGATCCGGTAGCATTGGCAGACAGTGGCAAGGTCAAGTAGTTGAAAAGGGGGGGATGTCGTTTGGGCAACAAGCAACTATCTCAGCTTAGTTCCAGGTCTGTATCAGCCAGCCTAGGGTATCTTCTCTTCAAAGAGAGTCTTAAACTTGAAGTATCCAAAAAGCAAAATGGTTTGGCATGTGGTTCCACAGGATTCTACCATGAATCCATGAAGCGAGCACCCGGGCAGTTGAGCCAGCTTGCGCTTGCTGTTGCGCACGCCAATCGCCCTTGAACTGAGACAACTCCTCCTTGGCCCTTAGGTGCCACACCAAGCGAGAGGCTGTAAGGGATAGCATTGCCTTGCAAGGCCTAAACGAGTGTCCACTCCTGTCGTTTCCACGAATGCTCTCTTCGACCCCTTTGAGGCCCCCGCTTCTGAGCAAAGGTGGGGCCTGGAACGACCGAGTCTTGCGCGACGTCTTGACGCGGATCCGCGACTCTTGACGTCTTCCAGCTTTCCCTAGGCGCTCCCTAGCTAGGTGCGGAATCAGGTGAAAGGTGCAGCGCAATCATAATGATCCACAAATTGATGGATCCACAGTTCAAACATGGCAGCAGCGTGTTTACAATTAATTGTTTACAGTGTGTTTGTGTCTTTCAATCAATGCGCCTCTGATCTGCTTCCCTCAGACTGGTTCAGTAGCTAGAATTCTGTAAATATTGTATCCTCAGGGCCCGGGGCCTTCGGAAACGGTTTGTTACGACCGGATGTCTACTCTGTCTACCGACGCTCTGAGATCGAGACCTGTCTCAGTCAATTGCTTTGCATACCTGGAACGGGGGGGCAGCCCGAAACAATTAAAAAGAATGACTGATTTGTATGTTTGGGGGATCCCCTAGCAAGAAAGTCTGAATGAGCGTCCGTCAAGACATGCCAGTTCTGTGTCCCCACTAAGAGACACCTCCTTGTCGATACAGCACTTGGGGGAGGAAGAACGACCATCTTCGCACCTCTTCGCACCTCCCAGCTTGTCAGAATAAGGCTTCTTCTTGTTGGAGATGACAGGAGGAGGCCTTGCGATCAAGATGTCTCAAGGATTCTCAAGGCACAATATCAAGGCATCATGCATGAATCATGCTTTTTAAATCGAAGGTTCTGGTCTCTCACCCTGTATCCAATACATACTAGTTAAGAAGGATGCCTCCCTCAAGTACAAAACTGGGGAGTGTATGCAAAACAAATCCCCAGCCACCTGACTTGTAAGCACACATTGGGGGCAGCGTCCCCAACGTGGTCTTCCGCCAGGGAACAGGGGCGGCGCAGGCGTGGTCATCATCTTGTAGAATTCGTCGAAAGTCACCTTGCCCGGTGGCTAATTAGGCGTTCAAACAAAGCATTGTGCCTTAGCTTGCGAACCTCAAGACCATCTTGAAAGACTCTGAGTTGTGTTACCGTTGTGCATGAATTTAAGGATACGGTCATGAAATTGGATCTAATTGGATGATAGTTGGTTGCATGACTACCGTGACTACCCCATGCTATCTTGTTATATAGTACAATGATTGATGCTCAGGATGCTGAGGCAAAAGGTCCAAGACAGGGATGACAGGACAGTGACAGACATTGGGTGAGTCTGGGATATGGTACAGACTACAAAGATGTACAGAGTTGGTCTTGAAACCCCAACACGCGTTTTTTGCAAGGCAAATAGTCTTGCAGTCCACCGTGAAGGCTTTGAAGCTATCATCGTGCCCTCAAAGGAACCCAGCCTGCCCATCACCGTCTGAATCGCACATGCGGATCATCTCATCGATCTCCTGTGTCAATCAAGTGTTCAAAAGGATTCAGTGGCGCAAATCCAGAACATCCTGGAGACCGTATGCAGAATGCACAGACCTTGCCCACTGCTGTACTCACTAAACATGCGCCAGTTTGGTACGTGGAGGCCACAGATTTGGACACATCACTGAGTAGAGGAATTCGACGGCTCGTAAAGGGTGGCATGTTGCGCCTTCGACTTGCAACAGAGATGAAACAGCTACTGCCCTCAGTGAACAGTATGAGACTCTAGTGCATCAACTGCAATGGTTCTAATTACTGTAAAAGAAGAATTCAAATATCCTTGAACAAGAGGTTGTTGCACGAGTGTACCTACTCCGATACGAGGTTTTTTCTATGTAGAAATCTATCTATATATGTCACGGGCCATATACAACTTGTATGTAGGCTTACGGCTGTACTTCTGACAGCAAGGCATTTTTTCCAGTGCACGGCCAGCAATCCTGTGAAAACGAGCTCACTATGGGCCACAACAACCACTCCTCACTTCCCCCCACCGCCACATGGCACTTCCTGGTGCGAGACATCTTCGCCAATGAGCTTTAGGATGTGAGAAATCCTCACTGATCGACAAACCAAGCGGCACGTGCGAATTGTCCGCAACAATGACAGCAATGAGGACACGCACAATCAAAGCAGACCGACCCGTATCATTAGTAGTATAGAAATGTATAGAATATACTGTTCAAAAGCCCAAAAAACTCCCAAAATCATATTGCTGCATCTCATTGCTTGCGAATGTCTGTGTTTACATAATTAATATGTATGTGTGTGTGTGTGTCAAAGCAACTGTCACCCCCGGGACGGAGCGTTTGGGTTTCCAGGCTCCGCTGCACCCACAAAGCGATTGTTGTCCAAATCAAAGGTGGCAAAGGCCTGCGCAGGCTGAGCGAGTGAGTCAAAGGCTTCAGTGACAAGTCGTGACAAGTCGTACCACAAAATGGTCAATCATGTGAATCCTGCATCATTCGCTCAGTTTCTATTAACTGTCTTGCTTCTAGTGCTATAAACACTACGGGTGCCTCCTTGATTTCCTCATCAGAGAAAGGTCGATGCTCAAGGCCTCAGATGAGATAGGAGCTAGCACTCTGGAACCCTGTTTTTGCATGTCTGAACCGTGGAACTTTGCACAATGTCCTGCAAATTCCTGCAACATAGGAACCTTCAAGCCGCAAAAAACACATCAAGGCAAACAGAATGTCCGAAGCAATTGGTCTACTCCTAGCAGAACTCATTGCTGTATTCTCGCGGAAGAACCGTTCCCTAACAAGGTCAAGCAATCGGCTTCCAGTTGGAAGGCTAAACGGCGATTCGCCAACTCTGGGACATCGGGATATCTGAAATCAGGATCGTGTGCACACTCCTGGTTCGTCCAAAGAAGGTGGTTGTGAGGATTGAAAGTCTCATACGACGTCGACGACGTCACGTGTCACTCTATGTCTCTCGACCTCCAGGTCCCTCACCTGGCTGAACAGCGCTGGCCAAGGTCTGGGACTTCTGTGGCTCAGAGGCCTGGACCAAGCACTGTCAGGTCATGTTGTAGCAAGGCCAGGAGCTACTAGTAGCGTCCTAGTAGCGATGCCCTTTGTTACCAGTAGCTTCTTCTTACTAGTAGCGATGGCCTCCAACCTACTTGCGATGGCCTCCACCTAGTAGCGTCCTTGCTACTAGGGGGTCACAAAAGCTTAGAAGGTCTAAACCACAGGGGCGGCACAGCCGGCAGCCCTTTAAAGGTCCGAGCAGCCAAGAGATCCGGTGCCGGCGCAGCGTTGTTGAAGCTCATTGTTGTGGCACAGCTGCAGCTTGTGACGCAATTGATGTCTGGGTCTGAGTATTAATTGCTGGGCTTGTTGAAACATGCAGACTGCGAAGACCACCCCTATGCCAGCCGCCTACATTGACCAACCCAAAACTGTCTTTTGGTTGTGTTTCCTTGAAGTCAGTTGCTGCAGCCTTTCAACTGTCTGTCTTGAGAAGCCTTTTAGACAGCAGTGTTGACGGAGAGCTGTGATGTGTCAAAATACAGACTTAAATGCAATAAGAGTGTTTGTCTTAGCTGAAATACTCTAAAACAATGCAAGCAAGCAATTTCCTTGCTTGCAGTACTCCCTGAGCCGAAGCATCGCCAAAAGCTTGCAGCAAACCCAGTGGCCGCGCAAGGTGTCGAAAACCTCTGGTACTCGTCAGCGCCAACACAAACAGATAATATGGCCCGGGGACACAAAAAAGCAAGCTCAAGCAGCAACATGGTAGCCGCGGACGGGTGGATCAACATAGAACCAACGCAGCCAAGACACCCTCATTTCAACGTGGTAACTGAATTGACATAAACCGACCGGTCGGCCAACCTGTTGATCCATTCATGGCACACAAGGTGTTTTACAAAGCTGACACACTGGTGAGCTTCAGGTTACAGTATCATGGTCAACGGCTCATTTGCTTCGAACAACTAGTGCTGCAAATCAGAGCCATGGTTGGAGACATGTGCCACCATGCGCCTCCACCGCAAATACCTATGCTTCAACCGCAATGGGCATAGATGGACATCATCGCATCCCAGTCGCATTAAGCACCAAAGTTACCGAAGGCCAAAGATTGGAACAGTGGGTATAGTTTATGTGTTGGATCAACCTCGAAGACCCTGGAAATGCGAATACAGATTACATATATTATATATATATATATCAGCAGGCCAGTGTTAGCATTGAACACATTCCCACCATGGAAAAAACGTCGCATTCTGCAGACATCAGGAAACAGTACAAGTTGTGTGGAGATTTTGAACAGTTGTTGAGGTGCCCTCTGCAAGCTGCAAAAGCCAGCCAACGAAAAGGTCAAACCACCACGAATTCACATCTGGAGCCAGCTGGAGGGAGTTCTAAGGTTCCAGATAGAAAACCTGGCACTGCACTGGGTTCCTTCCATTGACAGTTTCTGGCAAAGGATCAGATATCTTCGTTCCTCTACTTGTTGCTATATAAGTCATCAAAACCTCGGCCGAATGAAGTCAATCAATGTTGCTTTCAAATCTTTAAGCTCCAGAAAAACATGCCCGTGTCTACAAGGATTGCTAACCCAATGGCTCAAATGTTCCACCTCCCAGCTCTTTCGACACTTTCGAGGTCTGCATTCAATCAAGTCTCTCATGTCTATCTCTTCGACAAGCTATGCCTATGCCAATGGCACATTTGCTGAACTTAAACTATGCTGACTTTCTACATGTATGAACAGACCGGTTTGTCATGTTTATGAGCAAACTCTCCTGAGCAAGCTACGACTTTCCCAAAAACAATCATGTTTGATGATGTTTAATGTTTTGTACCACAAAGGATGCAATAACTACGTCGCAATAACGTGAAGAATTGTATGATATGTAGATTTGCACTTATTTAGATGCATAAGCCTCTTGCCTGACCTACTCGTGGGTACTTGTATTACATCTCTTTCGTCTGGATGAGATTGTGAGGAAAGTTCCCATCAGCAACTCACGGCTCTGCAAATCAACTGATCAAACTGGCCCATACCTAAAAAACAAATGTACAACCTCTTCTTTGTGTCATCTTGACTCCACTAAGAAAATGGAAAGCATTCCGACGCTGTATGGAGAGGAACTAGTTGAATTGTGAATCTTACTTTTTGCCTGTCATGCTCCTGTTTCATTCGATGGTGGTTCTGGTTCACTAAACAAGCAACTGCATTGGCGCCCGAAAAATAACTTCAAACTCATTCCATGCGGATGTCTGTTGTAAATTGACAACAGCAAAACACCAACTATATTTGCAAGTCAAGAATCAAAAGGGAATTGAACGGCATACAGGCATGATAGTTGACAGTGGCTGACGCTGCAAGGACCTCGTTGAAGTGAAACCATTGGAACAAGCGCTCATTTCAGCTGGCCTCGATCGCGGTTTCCACACTTTTCAGTGATCAATGCTTCGCCCCGAGGTTCTGATGTGAAAAACTCCTGGGAGTTTGCAGTTAGCCTCCAATGTGGTTCTCCAACTGACACCAACAAATGGATTGCTGAATACAAACAGCTGCTTTGGCTGCAAATGACTTGCAAACTTGTCAGCATCCAAAGATCCCACTGGAAGAGCCATGTCTCCAGCAGTGAGTCCCAAGGTGTGGCCATTCCAGAAATCCGAAACTTTAGAAGTCCGGGCTTCTACACACAGTTTTGTGTTTGCAAATCTTCATCTGGCAAACAGGCCTCTGTGCTAGTAGTTGCTAGAATCTCCTAGCATGTTTGCTCATGGGACCGAGCCCTTGTCGTGGGTCAAGACCCTGCACCCTTAGAGTGTTCGCCTACCCGTGTCCAATTCGTTCCTGCCAACACCAAAAAATGCCAGCTTGGGCACGACATGTGTCTCCAGTATTCAGTATGGCTTCTTTTGAAAAATGTATAAAAATGTGTTGATTGGTCCTGTTGCTGCAAAATGTTGTTCTGAAGTGAAAGAAGGTCCTCCTCAGCCCAGCCCATGTTGTGGCTTTGAAACTCAGTGCTTTTCAATTGAACTTAGGCTCCTGCCTCGAGCTCCCTCCAGGGAGATATTAAGTTCAAACCCAAGTTGAACCATCACCTTTCATAAACCTGAGCCCCTCCAAGGCACCTGATCCATTCGAGCGCCTGCAGGGTCAGAATGGATAAAGCGTAGAGGCCATCGCTATCAGATTGCAGGCCATCGCTATTAAGTTGGAGGCCATCGCTGCTAGAGTAGAGGCCATCGCAATTAGGTTGTAGGCCATCACTACTAGGTTGGAGGCCATCACTACTAGGTTGGAGGCCATCGCTACTAGGTTGGAGGCCATCGCTACT